TGGGCCTCCGGCTTGATGGGGCGGAGGCAGGGAGAGCCCGACGAGCGGCCGGACGAGGAGGAGGACGCCCTGGGCCGCTCCATGCGCCTCGGCGTCCAGGAGCTTCCACGGCGGCGTGAGAAGGACGGGAGAGCGGGGTACTCGAGGCGCGGCGTGTTGCCGCCCTCGATGTACTCGAGGACGGCCTCCAACGTGCGGCCGGGCACGCCCCACCACCGGCGCCGGCCCTCAGAGTTGAGCCTGCCGGAGGGCACGACGCCGTTGGTGGCCTCGAGCTGCTCGGCGTGACGGCAGCGTTACGCGTGGCTTGATGGCGTGGCGGCCGAGGGGACGCGCGTCGCCCGGCCTTCACTGCGCCGCCCGTGAGGCATCAATGGAGGCTGACCGGCGCGGCAGCGCGCAGCTTTGGCATTGATTCGTCGCGGGAAACGAGGCGATGAGGACGACGAAGCGGCGAGAAGAGAGTCGAGTCGCTGACGCGGCTGGCTCGCGGCTCTTCGCGCCAAAAACGATTCGCCCGGCGCCCCCGAGCGACCCCCAGCGCGCCGGGTTCGGGTTGGGTCCGCCGGCGCCAATTTTGGCCCGAGCCGGCGAAAACTGGGCCCTTGGGGGCGCGACTGGGCCGATTTTTTGACGCCGGCGGCCGAAAAATCGTCTGGGGGGCCTTCTTGAGAGCGCGGCTGGAGATGCTCTCAGAAAGACGTGATGGATAAGACACGTCGAAGCAAAAGCGCTCATTCCACACTGGGTCCAGTGTCTTCTCCTTAAGGCTGGTCATAGTGGGGCGTAACTTAGACTAGTAACATGCATATGTTACTAGTCTATGTTACTACATCTATAGTGCATAGTATTATACATTAGTATCATAGCTGGTCTCATTTATTGCCATGCATGACACATAGTAGCACCATATTTATTATGTTACGATATCTATCAATGTTACTATAACCATCTCTCTCTTTTTTAATTGCCTGCCACATAAGCATGTTCGTTAGTTCTAAGTACATGATACTACTTATGTTACCCCACTATGACCAGCCTAATGGCCGTGCAGAAGCGTTGGCCGTCAAATTTGAGATCTACACACGCGCTGGCAGATCCTTTACCGTACTTGGGGGACAGTCCACGCGCACTTGCCACCTCCACCACCAA